GTCGGGGTCGGGGCCGGGGCCGAGGAGCGCCTGCAGCAGCGCCGGGGTGCAGCGTCCCCGCTCCGCTCCGCTCCGCCCCGCCCCGCTCCGGGGCTGCGAACGGCCCGCCGCCGCGTGTGCGCGCGTGTGCGTGCAGTGCCTAGGCTGTACAAAGGTGTGTGCGCGTGCACGCATCTGTGCGTGGTGCCTACTCTGTACAGGGGTGTGTGTGTGCACGTGCGCGGTGCCTAGTGTGTGTGTGTGTGTGTGTGTGTAGTGCCTAGTCTGCACAGGGGTGTGTGTATGTGTGCACACATGCGTGATGCCTAGTCTGTGTGTGTGTATGTGTGCACGTGTGGTGCAGTGCCTAGGTTGTACACGGGTAAGTGTGTGTGCGTGTGTGCGCGCACGCATGTGTGCGTGGTGCCTACTCTGTACAGGGGTGTGTGCGCCTGTGCACGCACCTGTGCTACCTAGTCTGTGAAGGGGTGTGTGCGCATGCACGTGCGTGCTACCTAGTCTGTGTGTGTGTGTGTGCATGTGCACATGCATGGGTGGTGCAGCGCCTAGGCCGTACAAAGGTATGTGTGTGCGTGTGTGTGTGCGCCTGTGCACGCACCTGTGGTACCTAGTCTGTAAAGTGGGGGTGTGCACATGCATGGTGCCTAGTGTGTGTGTGTGTGCACGCATGTGTGTGGTGCAGTGCCTAGGCTGTACCAAGGTATGTGTGTGTGTGTGTGTGCGCACATGCATGTGTGCATGGTGCCTACTCTGTATAGGGGTGTGTATGCCTGTGCACGCACCTGTGGTACCTAGTCTGTAAAGGGGTGTATGTGTGTGCACATGCGTGGTGCCTAGTTTGTGTGTGTGCGTGTGTGTGGTGCCTAGTCTGCATGGGGGTGGGGGTGTGCACACATGCATACATGTGTGGTGCCTAGTCTGTGTGCGTACGTGCGTGAGTGTGGTGCCTAGTCTGTACAGATCTGTCAGGGGGCGGGTGTCTAGTGTGCACAGATCTGTAGGCATGTATATGTGTGGTATCTACTCTGCAGGGGGTGGGGGGGAGCGTTTGTGTGTGTGTGTGTGTGTGTGTGTGTGTGTAGGGGGGATCTAATCTGCATGGGTGCATGCACGTGTAGGTGCTGTCTTGCTTGAAGATCTGTGTGTTTGCGGGCAGAGGTCTGGTTTGCAGGGGTCCAGGCCCATGGGGGGGTATGCAGTGCCCCCCCACATCCACCAGTGAGCAGGGGAGCCCACCGCTGCTGTGAGGAAAGCCCATGCCTGCGCATCCATCCAGGCAGCAGCCACACAGAGGGAATCCACAGGTAGCGGGGCTCCTCGTGGCTTTGTCAGAGATGAAAAATAGGCAGTGATTTCCCTGCCCACTCCGCCAGATGTGAACCTGGGAGGGGGGCACTCCCCCCGGGCAGTGCAGGGCTGGCTCCAGGGTAGCACGAGCTGCCCGCTCCCAGGCTGGGAAAGCAAAGAGAGCAGATCTGGAGTGGGCTACAACAGGGCAGGACGGATGCGCATGTGCGCTGAAGGCTGAACCCATTCTGTGGCTAGTGCACAAGTGTGTGCATTTGTAATCAATAGTAACTACACACATGTATGCTTGTAGTGCATAAGCACACGTGTATACACATGTCTGTGTGTATAAACATATACATTCATACGTATACACCCATGTATGTATACATACACATGCACACTTATTTATATTCACACACATGTATACACACATACATGTGTATGTATATGGGCACACACATATGCAGAGTGTGTGTGTGTGTGTGTGACACATGCACACACATACACACAGAAACTTCTAGACAACATACACTTGAGATCAGGCTCTCCAGGTATTGGCATACCTAATCCTTCCATGGGGGAAAAAACCCCCTTTATTTCACTTCTTTAAACAGGCACATGCATTTCAATCCATCAACAAATCCATCAAACAGATGCAGCACATCTATGAGAAGAAAGCCTGCATTTTAGTTTCTATGCTGAAATTTCTTTTTCTCTGTTCTAACTTTCTTCTTTTGACTGAATGTTCCCATTACCAATCTCTAGCCAAATCGTCAATCCTTTCCTGGAAAGTCTGAGGAAACCTGATTTGGGTAATCATTTATTCCAAGAGAAAAAGGCACCCAACGCAAGTGTTCCTACACACTTCCCTTCCCTTTTACATCCAAGTTCCAGCTGAAATTTTTGCAATCCATGTAACTAAAAGAATGACTGCAGTTGGACACTAACCATAGCTTCTTTTATAGTCCTCAAAGCTGGAGAACAGCACACTGCAACTGCAGACTTCATGGGAGTGGACCAGGGTCATCTTCTCTCTCCCTCCACCCCTTTCCTGTAGGCCCAAGTAAGTACCTTTGGTTTAGAAAGCTACTGCCAAAGATTCCACAATCATTTAAACTGCTCCCTCTTTTCCTCCTTTGCAATTCAGAAACCAAAGCTGTCTTTAACATAACGTTCAGGATCAGAACTCGTGTAAAAAATTCAAGGACTTCCAACAGTAACTAGTTCTTAAGTGAATACAGAATGCATATTTTATTATTTCCTTAGTTAAAATTAGATCTCAAACAATCTTTGGCTATTACATGTAATGAATGTAACATAGTATCAGATACATCACATACTACATGTGGTTTAGTAATTTATTGACTAACAAGCACTTAGTAATTCCATCTTATTGCATTAACATGAGTTTCGTGAACTTTAAGATTTAAAAGAGTGTTTACTTTCATATTGTTCAGGCATAATACTACATGTCTACATGTGGTATAAATAAATATGTATCCATGTGTTCCTGTATACTCAGGAACATCAGTGGAGTAGGAGACAGCACGAGATAAAATATTTTGACTTGACGTTAGAGTGACCATAATTACTTACATGCTGAAGCCCTAAGTGAATTACATGGGTCAACTCAAAAAAGCAAGCCTAGAAATTCCTCTTTCCAGCTCTCAAAAGCTCCTGTTTCAAGCTTTGCAGTATAGCAAGATATTGGACCTTTTGCCTGTCAGTTGTCCAAGAGCAAATGCTGTCCATCCTGGGCATTCCTCCAAGGACATTTTGTAAGGAAATGTCACATTTGGAAAGCATGCAAGTGTACATAAGGCTGATTTTTCTATACAAGAAAGAAAAAAATGATAAACACAGATGTATAAAAGTCAAATTCAGAAGATATACTACTGCTTGTTGTATTTAGAAGGACCAGCAAGTTAAGCATGGAATGCAAAACTCTATAGTGATAAGCATCAAAGGATTCAGCAAGCAGAATTTTTCTTAACCAAAAAAAAAAAAAGATTTAATAAATGTTTATGGGCTGAATCATGTAAGGTGCTGCCTAGTTTCTCCACTGTTGTAACCTCTTTAGATTCAAATTACTTGAACAAAATGATCACATATCAAGTCTGGGCCCTTTCAAAGCAGAAGCCTCACCTTATCAGTGATATTTTGCCTCTCTCATTTCAGCTAATTATACCCAGATAATGAAGAGTCTGTTAAATCTTTAAAGTGTTAATTACCTGTGCCTTCTCTGTGAAATGAATCACTCTCATCATGCTGTTTATTAGCTAGACTGTACATTTTCTGATGTGCCTGTCTTCATTTGCTTTAATCTAGGTAACTCAGAGGCAGGTACTGGAAACATTCAGATTTTGTAGATTCAGAAGTCCTCCCTGATCTTGTTCAGGATGGCTGGGGTGGGGAGGGGGGGACCCGGGCATTGGAAATTACAAAATGGTGGAGATGAGGGATCAGGTGGGGAAAAAAAAAGAAGCATCTGGAGGAAATTTCTGCACCACTGGTCAGATGCTTATGGGGCTAACAGCTATTTAACCTAGACATACATGTTTCTTCATTTGGCTAGACAATCCCTCTAACCACAGGGAATGATATCTATAGTAGGCAGAACAAACTGGGACAGGAATCCCTGGATTAATAGGAGAGAGAGTTACAAAAGAAGAAATCCAACAGCAAGGACAGATTTAGTAAAGAGTCTACCATTAAGACAGTCTAGCCAGTGCTTTAAGTGTGCATGTGCTTACTCATGCCTTGTAGATACTTACCCATACCAAATGAAGCAATGGGAAGTTTTTGCAATAATTTCAGCAGGCATTAGATTGGACCCTGCCTCTAGTCCAGTCGCTGTAATAAAACCCTCTCTCTTTCCATTTCAGATAATCGCACTCAGACCTGGAAGTAGTATTAGTCAGGAATTCAGAAAGAGGTGTCCGCACCTAAAAGTAGAATGAAGTGAATTTTCTCGTTCAGATGTGCTGTCAGGATGTCATGTATAAATCCTAGAATAACAAGGCACTGCCATTCCTGAAGACTGCAGCATGTTATCAGCCTATTTCAATACCCTGATTTAATGTCTAAGTAATTTTTGATTGTGAATGCATGCATCTATACCAGTGAAAAATAATGGCATATTGATCATTCAGGTCATTATGGGGCTGCTCCAGTTTTCACTGAAGACAATGGCAACAGTCTTCCATTTTTATCTTTAACAAAACTGATACTATGTTTAAGGCACATCATAGAAGGGTATCTTCACCTTTTTAATTCATATCCACACAACAAAATCTCTTTTCTAATCCTTTATACCCCCTCCTAGGAGAGTGGATAGGTTCATTTTAAAAGAAAATAAAAGATTCCACACACAGCTCTTCATTTCCATGATATGTTAATGGATTGGGCCACAATTATCATGTAGTGATAATGACTAAACTGTGTAAATCTAAGTTACAGATGCATGTTTGTATAATTCCCAATGCCTTGGATACTGAGGCCAAGTATCACTAGATTTCTCCCCTCTCCCTCCCCCAATGAGGCACTTGAAAGGGATCAGACTTGTAGAAGGTACTCAGCACTTGCTTAAAATATGCCCCTGCAGGGTGTGTCAACTAAAACATCAAGACACGCAGATTATAAAAGACCTTTGAAAAGTTTAGCCTGGGTGTTAGGACTCCCTAGATTCTCATTTCTGGTTATACTGCTGGCTTTACCAAGCTCATCTGGTCACTTTTGAGGACTGTTGTACCAAAGCCTATATAGTCTAGGTAACAATAATCAAACTTGGACTGTTACACAGAAGAAGTCAGCAAAGATTTAAAACCATCCTCACAGTTCCCATCACTTCCACCTCCTGAGACCACATGGCTAGGGTTCACCATTCTGTTACTAGACTAGAAAGAGGGACACAAGAGGCATCAGCACCACAATTTCATCTAAATCCTACATGCCACCAGGAAGATGAGACAGGCTCCAGCTTTCAACCCCTCCTTTATGAATCTTTATTATTTTTCTTTCCCATCCCAGGCTCTTTTTGCCTTTTTAAAATAAAAGTCCATATTACTCAGTCAACACTGACTCTTGCAGCACTGCTTGGTACCTATAAACCCAAAAGCAGCTTAAAGTAATGCACTGAAACAACTGAATGCTTGCCAGGGCTCAGAGAGGCTGATAAGATGGTGTGCTGATCTGTTTTCCTCCAGTCTCAGACTAGTAAGTCATAAACAGCATCAGAAACAGAAGCTACGTTTTCTGTCTTTGCTGTTCTTCTTCTTTCCTTTGTGTGTGCATGAGTCTTATTTTGCCTTCAAAGAAGCAGAATTGGGGTGTAACTGTAGCAGCAACACAAACCCAAATAATGTTAATTCAATTTTTTTCTTTCTCCAATAAAAAGAAAATAATTTCCTGTAACATTACCTAGACAAATAAAACAATTTTGCTCTAATATAATCTGAAAGGTTCTTTTAAAAGCTTGCTGCATCTCGAGGGAAAAAGGAGTTAGAGCACAGTTAAGTAGAAGGTTTACTTGATACTGTACATTTCAAATGCTTTTTACTCCTCCTCCTGCTTTCTGTTAAAAGTTGGTTGTTGCTATATAATTCAGGAAACCAAGGCCTCTGTAATCAAATCTTGAGCACGTTTAACAGTTAAATGTGTTCAGTAAGGAAGTCCAGTTTACCTCTCCGATCCTCCATAGAATTTTGATTCCATTATAATTATACTACCTGGCCACTCTTTCAAAGCAAAGTT